TTCTATAGTCTGCACTAAGGGTCCTGTACAGGAACCCAGCGGCCGGCTTGGACGAATTTGACTCAATGCCTTGCCATCAGTCAATCATTTTACTTTAATACCGGATAGCAACTGACCATTTGGTAACCTCACTATGTACATTTGGTAAAAGTAACCAATAAAACTGCAATCGTTACCGTACTATGGACTTAATGACTACGCGGAGCTGGATACATTTCAATGATAATAATAAAGACTGAAATTTGCAAATATGTCAATCCCGTACTCTGCGAAGAGGGAACCTTTCATTGATGTCGAAAGGTGTGAAACGAGATATCCAACATGATGAAATAAAGCAAAAAGACAGCAAACTAGCTCCAATGACTTCGGACAGAGCCGCAAAAGAATCAAAAAACAAAACAACTTTATTATGATGATGATTAACTAACCCAGAATCGAAAACTCTTGAAAGAAAATATTTTAATGTTTTTTTCCGAAATTCGCAAGCTGGACAACGCGCTCCATGCTGTGTTCATCACAGAGTTTTCCACTGATGTATATTAAGAGGGGTTAAATCAATTAGTTGATACAGATGGACCGCTGCCAATCATACAGCTTCAAACTCGTGACCGTATAAGTGGGTGCTGACAACGAAAATCGGTATGCAACAAACAGATCACATCATAAGGATTCTGCCAAAATGTCATACATCGTTGCTGGATGACTTACATCGCTGGATTCTTCCTGCAAAACTAATATTCTCGCAGCCATTGAAACTTATTACATTATTGCTAAAAATCGTATCATAAAGAAAACAATATAAATCAACACAAAAACAGCGATGTCAATACATGCACGAAGAAGGCAAACGGTTCATCACTACACAACGATTTCAATGCTCATCTGGTTCAAAACTCTTCTTTCTCCATTGCAACAACACCTTAATACTGGGAAGACAATAGGCGTGATCATATGCCAACTGCCTACTGACGACCCGACTTCTCTTGCGAAGGAACAAACGCCCCTATCGACGCGAAAATAAACATCCTTGAGATCGTAGTCAGTTCGACAAAGGTAGACCCTTAATGATATAGCAGGTTTTGAAGGGACTTAATAGAGGATGGGACATTTGAAGGACAGGCCACAGAAGATGGCAGGATTTATTATGGAAAGGATGCCAATTCTGTCAAAACGTTGCAATTTTTGCAAATAAAATTTATCTATTTTCTCTTGCTGCAAACAATGGAATCAGAACACCTATCACCTTCAATTTATGAAAACATTCACGTCGTTGATTAAGATGCCACACTTTTTAACTAGCAGTAGCGAATCTGGCTCAGAGGCAACGAATTACACAACACCACACAAAACTTCCAGATATCGTCAGTTTACCTTTTCCTCTTGTAGCAGCAACAGAAATCGATCAAACACATTCCGAGATAGCTTTTTCCACTTTACATCGCTTTGCATTTTTGTTTGATGGATGATTAAATTTAACAAATCTAAAGACTGAAACGAAAATGAATAGGGAAATCACGTAACATCAAGCAAACCTCGACAAAATGCAAATTCTTTGTCAACATAGAAATGACCACTTCCTGCTGAATTTCCAAATCAGCACAAGATCTTTCATTCCTATGTTTTGCAAACAGATCGACTGCAATTGGATACAATGCAGCACATCCTGATAAAAAAACAAACAGAGTATGTAGAAACAACTTATCAATCATCTGCATAAATTTTCGTAATTCAATGCACTCCAGCTTGCTAGGCTAAAAGTGCACGACATTTCTGTTTAGTCTTCATTAAGGTATGCGGTTTTTTACTCACTACTGGAATCAAAGTCTGATCTAGCGTAAAGCCTTCACTTGGTTACTGACCCTCCTGCTGCATTATTCATGTCAAATTTCGAACTTAGAATGCAAATGCATGCATTTTATTACCGGAGTAGTTCGATGCCAATCGTTCTTAACCTTTCAGAGCATATAAGGAAGAAAATATGAACTACACTGTCGTCGTTCGCATAATATCTGGTTATAATACTGCCCTGTGCAGAGTTATGGATACGCTTCACTTCTCAGCTCCCTCGTCGATCTCAGTATGTAAATACTGTTAACCCTCCTGAATTCATGACTGATTTAAAACTGCAAAGAACCGTTGTGCAAAAAAATTAATAAAGATTCATGTAGTTTTGCATATTTAATTCGCGTTCTCTTTCTGCAATACCTTCATTTTCATGAACCTGTGGCAAAATAATATCCACGGATGGTCTAAGACATATCTGAAACTTATGTCATGGCAAAATGTAGGCAATCCAGCTCATATGACTGACTTGGACAATTTTCTAACAGGCATTATCCAACGCACGGCTAATAGTCGGCCATATGTCCACATCAACGTCAAACCCTGAATATTCTACAGATCTGCATAGATCTGAAACTTTTAATTACCACAGAAAAGGTCATTTCTGACTAACAAAATTAACTTTTTTTCGCAACGGATTTTATAGATTAGACTATTT